AAAGAAAGAAAGAAAGAAAGAAAGAAAGAAAGAAAGAAAGAAAGAAAGAAAGGAAGGAAGGGAGGGAAAGAAAAGGAAAGGAAAGGAAGGAAGGAAAGAAGGAAAGAAGGAAAGAAAGAAGGAAAGAAGGAAGGAAGGAAGGAAAGAGAAAAGAAAAGAGGGAAAGGGAGAAAAAACTCCACTTTATTTGTAGAAGGTCCTGGGCAGGAACCGTGGCGCGTTTGGTTTCCAGGACTTGGAAAACGGATTCCAGATCGCGACGGCGAACACCGGCTTCCCCTAAGGCGCATTCAATAGCCAGCAGGAGCACATCCCGCAAATGAAAACCACAATCACAAGTATTTTTTCCGCCCCCAACCCCAGTAAATACCCCAGACGCCAGGGTGACAGCGCGGCGCGAAGGGTGGAGGCCTCGCTCCGGGGTCTGCCCGGGTCTGGCGCGCGCAGAAACAATTGCTGTTTTACGAACCGGATCTCCCGGGGACCTGGGGCTTCTTTCTGCGGGCGCTGGAGACCCGGGAGGGGGCCCCGGGGAATCCTCGGCCTCCGCCACCGCCTCCCAGGCGCCCGCGTCCAGGTTTGGGGACACCCGGCCCGTGTTCTTCTCCCTTTAGGGGATCCCCCAGCTCCGTGCCATCTCACCATCCCTCCATCCAAGCGCGCGCCGCCACCAACTTGGAGCTCATCCTGTCCCAAGATCGCGCGTCCCGGCTCGCCCGGGTTCCCCCGCGTCTCGCCATCTCCGCCCTGGTGCGCCCCGGGCGCTTCCTGGAACGATCCAGGCTCCGGGGCTCGGCTCTCTCCTGCAGGGAGCGAGGGGGGCCGGACGGCTGAGGAACTCCACGTCTCTGTGTGTCTCTCTCTGTGGAGGAAAAAGCTGGAGTTTGCTTTTCTTGCAGCCACGGAAAGAACGCGGGGTAACCTGTGTGTAGGGGGGGGGGGGGCCCGGGGGCCCCTGCGTCCCCCCTCCCGGCGCGCGCGCGCGGCCCCCCTCCCAAAAGGGGGTTTTCCCCCTCGCCCCACAAGGGTGTACGGACCCAAAAAAGTGAGGAAAAGAAAAGAAAAGCCAATGGGGGGGGGGGGGGGGGGCGGGGGGGGGGGAGAGACAGCGTCTCTGCGTGTGCGTCCGCCGCGGAGCCCGGAGACCCGTAATTGCACCAGACAGGCAGCGCATGGGGGGCTGGGCGAGGTCGACGCGTATAAATAGTGAGATTTCCAATGGAAAGGCGTAAATAACCGCGCCGGTGATCCACCCGCGCGCACCGGGCCGTCCTCTCCGCGCGCGGGGAGACGCGCGCGCACCCACCCGCCCCGGCTCCTCGCCCACCCCCGGCCCCCAGCCATGGAAGAACTCACGGCGTTTGTCTCCAAGTCTTTTGACCAGAAAAGCAAGGACGGTAACGGCGGAGGCGGCGGCGGCGGAGGGAAGAAGGATTCCATTACGTACCGGGAAGTTTTGGAGAGCGGACTGGCGCGCTCCCGGGAGCTGGGGACGTCCGATTCCAGCCTCCAGGACCTCGCGGAGGGCGGCGGCCACTGCCCGGTGCATTTGTTCAAGGACCACGTAGACAATGACAAGGAGAAACTGAAAGAATTCGGCGCCGGGAGAGTGGCGGAAGGTAAGATCGTCTGCGCACCGGCGGCTCCGGGGGGCCCCTGCTGGGGTTCGGCGCCTCCTCGCCACGGAGTCGGCCCCCCGCGCGCCCCTCGCTCTGCACATGGGCGGCGCTCGGATCGCCGGGGTAAGGCCCGGGCCCGCCAGGCTTTGCCTAAGAAAGAAAGGAAGGAAGGAAGGAGTGGACCCGGCCGGGCAGGGTTGCTGGGTGGGAGGTGTGGGGGGGACCCAGGGAGGGTCGGAGCGGGGTCCGCGGGGGTGGACGCCGGCACGGGAGGGTCTCGGGCTGGGGTGGATCAGGCTGGGCCGTAGGGCCTGAGATATCATTTTCCTTTTTTTCCTTTTTTTTTTTTTGAGACAGAGTCTGGCTCTGTCGCCCAGGCTGGAGCGCAGTGGTGCGATCTCGGCTCACTGCAACCTCCGCCTCCCGGGTTCAAGCGATTCTCCTGCCTCAGCCTCCCGAGTAGCTGGGATGACAGGCACCTGCCACCACGCCCGGCTCATTTTTGTGTTTTTAGCAGAGACGGGGTTTCACCATGTTGGTCAGGCTGGTCTCCAACTCCTGATCTCAGGTGATCCGCCCGCCTCGGCCTCCCCAAGTGCTGGGATGACAGACGTGAGCCCCCGCGCCCGGCCTGGGGCCTGATTGCTTAGCATGTGGATTTGTGTCCCTGCCTGCCTGGTTTGGATTTACGGTCACCCAGACGCAGAGAGGAGCTGTCTCCACGCGCCTTCCCAGCGCTCAGCGCCTGCCCGGCTCGCCCAGATCGCGGGAAGACTGGAGGCTGCGTGGTAGGAGACGGGAAGGCCCCGGGTCAGCTCCTTTCTGTGGCCTTTAAGGAACACTTTCTATATATATGTATATATATATTTTTTTCCTTTGAACCTCGAGACTTGTTTTTGGTGAAAAGTGGATCCATCAAATCCACTCCGGTGCCCGCAGGTGGGACGCGAGGGGCCCGGGGAAGCTGGTGGTTTTCGAGGCGCGTCCTCACTCGAGGCTGTCAGCGCAGCCGGTTGTGCGGGGAGCGCAGACCTGGCCCCGGGGCTCCCCTCTGGCCGTTCTTCCTGAAACCTCAGGGGCGCATCGCCCCGTGGTGGAAATCAAGGAGCAAGAGGCTCAGACAGAGGGTCTGGACCTGTGGATCTCTGTACAAAGAGGGGACGACTGGGCGCCGTACATCATAAGAATAAAATGGGCTGTAGCTGTGTCAGAGGCGCAGCTGGAGACGGCTATAGGAGTGTCTATCACGTTTCCAGGACAAAGAGGCAGAAAATCGAATCTGGGCTTTGGCTGATGTGCAGAGTCAAGGTGCGAGGGTGCGTTCCCCAAAGGGAATTCTTCCTGAGACTCTGGGGGGCTCCCTGCAGGAGCTCGGCCTGTCTTACCTTAAGGGGTCGTCCCTGCACACTGCTACGGGGGGCACCCAGCGCTGTAATTCATATAGAGAGAGTTGGCCTTGCTGGACCCAAGGCTGGGAGCGACTGGAGGGCCTGCATTGAATTTAAGAGGCGGTGCAATGCGCAGCAGGCCGGTTCCGTGGCGTTGCTTTTTACCTGTCCTTCCCAGACACTGATTTCCTCCTCTCGCCTCCTCTCTCTTCTCCCCCTGGCTATAGACCGGGGAGAGCAAAGTATCCTCCAGGTCTTTCCAAAGTGAGAGGAAAAGAAAGACCAGGCCAAGGACCCAGGGCCCCAGGAGAGGAGACACAGAGAGTCCCCGCTACCCTTTGCCCTTGGCTGGGTGCGGGAACACCCCGGGGGGCAGGACTGCAACCCGTGCTGGTATTTCTTCATCAGATCCACGTTAAGTGGAGGTCGGAGGGCAGGGGAGATGCTCCCCGTGGGAACCTAGAGTTTTGGGGAACAGCGCGTCCCCGCTGAGCCTGGGAGCCCGTGGCTTTTGCAAAGCCTGTCCATGCTTGAAGACTTTGAAGGCCAATTTGTCAACTGGGGTCCATCCCTGGCGTTTTCAGACTGAGAGAAACGAAGCAGGGAGAGAGCCGGGGCCGTCTCCAGGAAACAATTCACTTGGGGGAAGGAACGGACAGTTCTTGTAGGCACGTGCCTTTCAGGAGGTGCAAGAAAATGTGAATTCCATGTTGGAATCAGTGTCTAGGACTGAATCCAGCTCCGGGGGCCGGGGGTGGGCCTGGAGTGGGTGGTGGAAGGAAGGAGGCACCATGTCTAAAAAATTGGGAAGGAAACGCTTTTCACCTGGAAACGCTTGAGTGCTGACTTTTCAGCCCTTCTGAATCCCCGCCCCCCCCCTGCAAATACAGACAGGTCACCATTATTGGAGACGAGAAAGTGCCATTTTTGGCACCCTCGTGGGGTGGGTGCCCAACCGCGTGTGAGTAACTGGGAAGGAGACAATTCTGCGCACACGGTTCACCCCCGGACGCGGTGTTGCATTCGGGTACTCGGATACGGTTCTGCTGTGCTGGTCAGAAATAGGCTCCGGGTAGGGGCTCCCAGCTCCGGCAAATCCCGCAGGGACCCCCAGCCCCGCTGCGCTACAGCGGTGGCGATAGCGTCTCTCCGTGGGTCTAGAATCTGCCACTCGCCCCGGGCCCTCCCCGTGTCCTTCCCGGGCGCCCCGCGCGGGGACCCCACCGTTGGCAATTCTTCCTCAAATTCTTTCCCTTAAAAATACGATTGGACACCCCACTTTCCAAAAAAAAAGGTTAGGTTATGTCAACAGCGGCGAAGTGGATAATTGAGGAAACGATTCGGAGATGAGGCCAACCAAACAAGGTTCCTGCAAAGCCCAGGTTGTTGGGGCAGAAGCGAGTCGTTTCCTCCGCTTTTTGCCTTGGGGACCCCACGCAGATTTTGCGTAAAGGCGCATTGGTGTTCGAGGCCCCCCCCTTTCCACCAAAGGAGGCACGAAAGGGTTCGCCACGTTGCGCAAAACCGCCCCGCACTGCGCGCCACGCTGCCTGCGCGGAGGACCCCGCGGGCCGTGCTGGGGGAGGCGGGCGCGGGCGGAGGGGACCCGGGGAGCCTTTGGAGAGGCGCTCCCGGCCTCAGCCCTGTGCCCTCCGCCCGCCACGCAGGGATTTACGAATGCAAAGAGAAGCGCGAGGACGTGAAGTCGGAGGACGAGGACGGGCAGACGAAGCTGAAACAGAGGCGCAGCCGCACCAACTTCACGCTGGAGCAGCTGAACGAGCTGGAGCGACTCTTCGACGAGACCCATTACCCCGACGCCTTCATGCGCGAGGAGCTCAGCCAGCGCCTGGGGCTTTCCGAGGCGCGCGTGCAGGTAGGAACCCCGGGGGGCCTGGAGCCATCGCCTGGTCTTCGGGAGCGCACGGGGCACGCATTCAGCCACCTGCGCCCGCCCGGGCCGCCGTCCTGTTCCCGGAGCGCGGGGAGGTTGGGGGTGTGTGGCGGGCTGGGGTTCCTGGACTTTTGGAGACGCCTGAGGCCTGGAGGATGGGTTCATTGGATTCGTTTGCACCAAAGGCAAACCAATATACATGCATATATGTGTTAGACAAATAACAAATAAATATATATGGTATATAAATATATGTAGTATCTATGATATATATTTGTTTGTCCTTGGTGAGAACAAACCCAGCGAACGCGTATATCGGCCCCCTGATTCCCCTCGGTTCCCGTGGGGTTGGTTCTGGGAACCAACACAGGCAAACAAAACTTTCCCTCGGTTTTACTTAGGAGAGGAAGCTACAGATACGTGTCACGCAGAGCGTTTTACAAGATCTTTCATTTAAAAAAAATATGTCTGTTGGCCCCTGATTCCTTCGCGTCTTCCCATGTGGCTGCATTGAAATGGCTTTTCCTTAGGATGAATGGAGAGGGGTGCGCTCTGTTCCTAGGTGGTCAGAAACAGGGTCCCTCTCCTTCCTCTTCTTTTAGCCCCGCTGTTTCTGTCTCCCTACTCCCCTCTCCAGCCTTGTCCTCTGTTACACACCATCCCCTCCTCCCTCCGGCTCTGGGGAGCGCAGGAGCACGTTGGGCATCTGGATGAGCGCAGACCATTAGCGGGGCACGGGGGCTCCCCAAGGAGCGCGTTAATTCACAGTGTCCCTTCAGACCAGGCACCAGGGGCAGGTGGGGGGGCCTTGGGTGTGCGCAGAGGGACGCGCAGGCAGAGGCTTCCTGGGCGTTGTAAACATTCAGTTAAAGGTATGAATTTGATTTTCTGGGTACTGGTGGGAGAGTCTCCAAATGGCTTTTTTTCCAGCCCCTGCCTGACAGGACAGTTTCCCCTGGAAGGTCAAGTCCTGTAGTGCTTTCTCCTGATTCTGGGCAGGTCAGAAGGGCCGAGACTGAGAGAGAGAGACAGAGAGAGATGGAGAGAGAGAGAGAGTCAGGATCTCCGGACCCTGGGGAACCCGTTCAAAAATAAATGAAATTAAGATTGCCGACCAGGGAGACACGGATTACAAAGCCAGAGGCGTTCAAAAGCAAAGACACCTGCCGTTCAAAGCCCAGTCCCGTAGGATTGGTTATGAGGTCAACACATTTCAAACATCGCTTTCCCTGCATTTTTGCTTAGGAGACGAACGTACAAATGCGTTTGATGCAGAGCGTTTTACAAGATCTTTAGTTTACATATATACGTGTACACACACACACACATATACATTTTATATATATATAATATACTATATATATTATATATATTTTATATATAATATATTATATACACACACACAGACACACACACATATATATTTTATATATATAATATATTATATATTATTATAAAATATGTATATATTTATATATAAAATATATTATATATATAAAATATTATATACATATATATAATGTATTTTATACACACACACACACACACACACACACACACACACACACGTTTTGGTCCCTGATTCCCTTCGCTTCCCATGGCGTTGGTTATCCGGCCACCCCATTCAGACACAAAACTTGAGCGGACGAAGATACACGTGTGTTTGATGCACGGTGCGTTGTACAAGCTCTTTCATTGAAAAAAATATAGTTTGGCTCCTGATTCTCCTCTGTCTTCCCAAGTGGCTGCGTTTAAAAGGCCTCCCTGCGATCCTGAGGATGAAATAAACAGTCCCCAGGCCTCTGGACTGAGAACCGTAGTCCCCCCACCAAAAAAAGATACTGCCCAGGACTGGGACAGGCTTTGGTAATTTGGAAGGGCTGTGCCCCTTGTCAGGGCGTCTCTGGCCTCAGTGAAGGAAGGAAGCTGTATCCAGACTGGGGTTTCCTCGCTGTGTCCACCCCTCTCTCCGAAGATGGATTGGACGGCCCGGTCTAAATTAATGAAAAGATTAAAGTTTTGCTAAAGGGGACACATCAAGTGAATGTCATCTCCCGGTGTCTGTGGTGCCTGGGATCCGTCAGTGTATTCCCGGCCCTTGATGTACTGTTTCTATAAAAATAAATTACTTGTAATTGAATTCCACACTATTTCTTTCCGTAGAGTCTATTACTGACTCGCACCTCAGTTCAGTGGCAGAGAATTGGTGGGTGGGGTGTGTGTGTGTACAGACCCCGAGAAGGCCCTAAAATAAAGACAGATGGGGGAGAAAGCCGGGGGTTATGGACCCAGGGGTCGCATGAAAATTTAACGACGGTAAATAATAATAAAAACAAACATGGGAATAGGATAAAAGACATCATTTTCTCTCTCTCTCGCCGCAGGGAAAAAAAAAATCATCGTAGGGTAAAGGCGGGCAGGCCTTGGAGTCGTCATAAAAATCAATTAGTTGGAACACGGACGTCCCATGGAAGTGGCGACGGTGGAGGGGACGGGGACAGGGGAGGGAGAGAAAATGAACTAGATTTTAATCCCGTCTCCCTGTGAAGTGTTGGATCATCTCTTTCAGGACAGCCCGTCCCGTGCCGTGAGCGGATCGAGTTTCCATTTAGGGTGGAAATTTGCTGTAAATAAATTGAGCATCCGATGGAAGCTGTTCCCGATTAACCTTTTATTTTTAGCGTCGCCCCTGCAAAGTCACATCACCCAGCTGTCAGGGTTCTAATGGAAACTTATGAGACCGCGGTGAGGGGCGGCTGGTAATTTAATTACAACAAATATCTGTGGGTTTACGGCGCAGAGCTAAATTAAATGTCATTATTCACTGTCTGTAATGGAAATCAAAAGGACATCGCGTTGCGGGCGTGGGTGAAGGAAAAGCAGCGAGCGGTCCTTAATGAAGAAATAACTGTCTAAACCAGTGTCACACACTTCACTTACCATATTCAGGCCTAATTGGAATTGATCGGGAATCAGTCCAAGACTGATTTATTAGCACTTAACGCGGCAGCTAATTCATCACTTTTATTCTTCATCATCTTTTTTTCTTTTTTTTTTCCTCCCCGTGTTGAACGAGGCTTTCCAGGTTTCAGTAGGATTCTGTTTTTGTTTGTTTGTTTCAGTAGGATTTTGTTTTTGTTTGTTTGTTTGTCTGCGTTTCTGTAGGATTCTGTTTTTGTTTGTTTGTTTCATAGGATTTTGTTTTTGTTTGTTTGTTTTGTTTGTTTCAGTATAGATTTTGTTTTTGTTTGTTTGTTTGTTTCAGTAGGATTTTGTTTTTGTTTGTTTGTTTGTTTCAGTAGGATTTTGTTTTTGTTTGTTTGTTTGTTTGGGTAGGATTTTGTTTTTGTTTGTTTGTTTCAGTAGGATTTTGTGTTTGTTTGTTTGTTTCAGTAGGATTCTGTTTTTGTTTGTTTCAGCAGGATTTTGTTTTTGTTTGTTTGTTTCAGCAGGATTTTGTTTTTGTTTGTTTGTTTCAGTAGGATTTTGTTTTTGTTTGTTTGTTTCAGTAGGATTCTGTTTTTTGTTTGTTGGTTTGTTTGTTTGTGTTTTAAATGCCCTGCCAGAGGCTTTAGGGGGGGCCGGCTGGCTTGCCGGACCGTGGAGGAGACAGGTGGCGAGTACTGGGAGCATTGACGGACACACTGGCAGTCACTTGGAGGTGGAGGTCTGAAGTGACTCTGGACACCGGGCTTTGGAAAGGGGGACAGAGCAATTGTTTGTGAATTTCAGTCTCAGCCTCAGGCCGGGGCCTTTTTTTTGGGGGGTGAGGCGATGAGGGAGGATGTGACTTTGCTGGGACACAGGATAAAGTTTTCTAGGAGCCCTACAGCCCCCCGGGAGGGCCCACATTGGAAGGTCGGCGGGAGGCTCGGTCTTGGGTTCCAGACCAAATGCTTGTGGCCGTTGTGTAGACTCCTGGGTGCAAGTGCACCGGCTCCCCTCGGGCCCTGCACACTGTGGATCTGGTGGCTGTGGACCCAGCACGTGTTCTGCTCACAACAGTCTGTGTGGGAATTATTTGTCTTGGGCAGTGACTGCCGTGTCCGTCAGGGTGCAGGTGCAGCTGCCACAGAAAACCTGTCAGGGAGGTGGCCGTGGGGGAGGGGACAGGGAGGGGTCCAGATTACCAGGCCTAGGCTACACTCCCTGTGTTCCCCCAGGTGGTCTGTCTGTGGAGGAGGGGACTGTCAATATTGGGAGAGCGGAGGGGGCTTGTAGGAGGTGACAGGGGGCGGAATTCGCCCCCAAATATTAACACGAGACCTGTGAGAATTTCTCCAGCCTCCTGAGGGTCCCCTGCTCTGTTGCACTCAACTTCTTCATAGCTTCCCCCAAGACTTAGAAGTCCCCAAAGTGACAGAAGGCCCTTATATGGCAAAGCCTGCTATCCTTGGGGTCCCTCTCCGGGATGTTCGTCACCCTTGGTCATATGAGTGGGACCCCATCAGCTCCCCAGGGCTTCCGAGGAGGCCGAGGAAGGCAAGAGATTTTCTGGGCTTGCTGTGTCCAGAGTTGGATTGGAGAAGGGGCTGGATTTGGAGCCCTTTGGTCATCTGGTGGCCCCTCGACCTTGGTGGCTAAAGTCTGCAGGTGGCAAGTTGCGTTCTCCTACAGGGTGTACAGGAGCTGGGGGCTGGGTGTCCACACAGAATGCTGGAAAGTTCGAGAGTCCACTTCCACTGTCTCAGAACTCACTTGTTCAACTTCAACTCATCAGTGATAATGGACGGGTCTCACTTAGGCAGGGCAGGGAGAGCTTAACGTTTTCCAGTTCTAGACCGGGTGCGGGTGGCTCATGCCTGTCATCCCAGCACTTTGGGAGGCCCAGGCGGGTGGATTGCTTGAGGTCAGGAGTTGGAGACCAGCCTGGCCAACATGGTGAAACCCCGTCTCTACTAAAATACAGAAATTAGCCAGGAGCGGTGGTGGGTGCCTGTAATCCCAGTTACTCGGGAGGCTGAGGCGGGAGAATTGATTGAACCTGGGAGGTTGCAGTGAGGTGAGATTGCACCACTGCACTCCAGCCCGGATGAGACAGCAAGAGTCTGTCTCAAAAACAAAACAAAAACCAAAACCCAATTTCCAGTTCAAGGCCAGGATTCAGGCTCACGCCTGTCATCCCAGCACTTTGGGAGGCCGAGGTGGGTGGATCACTTGAGGTCAGGAGTTCAAGACCATCCTGGCCAACATGGTAAAACCCCGTCTCTACTAAAAATACAAAAATTAGCTGGCGTGGTGGTGGATGCTTGTAGTCCCAGCTATTTGGGAGGCTGAGGCTGGAGAATCGCTTGAACCCGGGAGGTGGAGGTCGCAGTGAGCCGAGATCATGCCACTGCACTCCAGCCTGGGTGAGAGAGCAAGACTCTGTCTCAAAAACAAAAAACAAAAATCCAAATACAAAAAAAACCAAAACCCCAGTTTCCAGTTCGAGGTAGCCAGCTATGCAGGGTTGGAGACAGAGGGGCGGTGAGGGACTGGGGACCCCCATCGGTCACTTCTGGATTCCCAGAGGTGCAAAGTGCTTGGTTCATCCTCCCTGGCGACGCTGGGCTGGATTCACAGGCTCCCACATCTCTTTCTGCTTCCCCCACAAGGTTTGGTTCCAGAACCGGAGAGCCAAGTGCCGCAAACAGGAGAATCAGATGCATAAAGGTGGGTGTTGGGACTGGGGGAACCTGAAGCTGGGGGCACCTGCTTGAGGATGGAGGGGGGGGGTAATGAGGTGCTGGTTGCACCCAGGACCACAACACTGACACCTCCTCCCTTTCACCACAGGCGTCATCTTAGGCACAGCCAACCACCTGGACGCCTGCCGGGTGGCACCCTACGTGAACATGGGAGCCTTAAGGATGCCTTTTCAACAGGTAGCTTTGGTTTTTCTTCCTCTGAAGATCCCCAGGGACCCGCCACCCCCTCCCCTTTCCCCTACTTGCTCGCCCCTCCCCGCCCCTGCAGACTTCTCAACCCGCCCCCCGAAAAAAAAAAAAAAAATCAGTGGCTTTTCCAAGGAGGCATTTACAGGCACCTTGACACGTATTAAATCAGGCTGGGCCGGGCGCGGTGGCTCAGGCCTGTCATCTCGGCTCTTTGGGAGGCCGAGGCGGGCGGATCACCTGAGGTCAGGAGTTCGAGACCAGCCTTGGCCAACATGGTGAAACCGCGTCTCTCTCTACTAAAAACACAAAACGTAGCCGGGTGTGGTGGTGCGCACCTGTCACCCCAGGTACTTGGGAGGCTGAGGCACGAGAATCACTTGAACCCGGGAGGCGGAGGTTGCAGTGAGCGGAGATGGCGCCTCTGCACTCCAGCCTGGGGGACACAGTGAGACCCCAGGACTCCAACTCAAAACAAAAAAAAAAAAAATCAGGCTGTTAAAACTCAGAGACCTTTTGGGAAGGTGAACACACACAAGCCCAAAGGGAAATCTTAACAAAAACCAGAGGGGGGACAAGTCCCACCCAATCAGGCCCCCCCCCCCCCAACCTGGCTTGCTGTCTGGTTAAGAACGGTGGGATGCCTGCGCCTGGATACCAGAGATGGGATAAGCATCCACTCCCTTTTCACCACCACCCCCGAGTGTCCGAGGGTCTGGGGCGTCTGCCTGGACCCTGGACCCTGGCCCGGGCTCTGCACACCCTACTCAGCTCCCCGCTGACTTTGGAGTCAGCAGCAGTTTGGGTTCCCAGCGTGGATTTGCGGCTTCCAGAGAGTGGGGGGGTCGGTCGCGGAACCCAAGCGTCCCAAGGGGGCCCCCTGCTCTGGCTTAGTGTGGGAGTGGGATGGGGGGAAGCGGGAAACTGTGTGGAAGGAGGGTGCACGGTCCCAGGACGAGAGAGCGCAGCGCCCACGTGCGCCCTGCCTGAACGCAGCCCAGCGCCTCTGCGCGCCCTTTCGGTCTCTAATCTGGGGGGCAGGACCATGCGCGGGCGGAACGAGGTTGGGGGGCTCTGGCAGAGCGGACGCGTGGCCTCTGTTCTTGGCCGTTTGATTCCAAGGGGACAACTGGGGTTTGTATTTGGGCGCGTGTTTGGCGAAGGGCTGCAGGTACCACCCGTCTGGCCGCAGCCTCTGCTGGCTGAGGGTGCAAAGGCTTGGGGGTGGGGTGGCGGCGGGGAGTGGAAGATATAAAAGTCTAAATCATAAATGAACGACTCAGAAATGGACCCCCAGCGCTGGTCGCCACGAGCTCTCCAGCTCTCCATGGCGCAGGCCCAAAGGAGACCGGTCCACATCCCTCCGCGGTTCTCCTCTCTTGGGACTTGGCCTCGAGGTGGGGGAAGGGGCCCACTTCTTCTACCGTCTCTTGCTGACGGCAGGACCCAGTGAAATTAGGCCGTTAGAGGCCTCAGGCCTGCCTGGTTTTGCGCACCGGAGCCTTGGGGACCTGGTGTCTTGGGAGAGCCTTGGAGACCTGGCGTCCCGGGAGAGCCTTGGGGACCTGGTGACCTTGGAAAGGCTTGGGGACCTCGTGTCCCAGGAGAGGCTTGGGGGCCTGGCGTCCTGGGAGAGGTTTGGGGGCCTGGCGTCCTGGGAGAGGCTTGGGGACCTGGTGACCCGGGAGAGGCTTGGGGACCTGGTGGCCTTGGAGAGGCTTGGGGGCCTGGCATCCTGGGAGAGGCTTAGGGACCTGGTGTCCCAGGAGAGCCTTGGGGACCTGGTGATCCGGGAGAGCCTTGGGGACCTGACGTCCTGGGAGAGGCTTGGGGACCCAGTGGCCTCGGAAAGGCTTGGAGACCTGGTGTCCCGGGAGAGCCTTGGGGACCTGGTGTCCTGGGGAGAGGCTTGGAGACCTGGTGTTCCGTGAGAGCCTTGGGGACCTGGTGTCTCCGGAGAGGCTTGGGGACCTGGTTTTGGGACCTGGTGTCCTGGGGAGAGGCTTGGAGACCTGCGGATCCGTGAGAGCCTTGGGGACCTGGTGTCTCCCGGAGAGGCTTGGGGACCTGGTGTCTCCGAGAGGCTTGGGGACCTGGTGACCTGGGAGAGGCTTGGGGACCTGGTGTCCCGGGAGACGCTTGGGGACCTGGTGACCTTGGAGAGGCTTGGGGACTCCAGCCCTGGGGAGAGGCTTGGAGACCTGTGACCCGAGAGCCTTGGGACCTGGTGTCCCGGGAGAGCCTTGGGGACCTGGTGACCCTGGAGAGCCTTGGGGACCTGGTGTCCCGGGAGAGCCTTGGGGACCTGGTGACCTTGGAGAGCCTTGGGGACCTGGTGTCCCGGGAGACGCTTGGGGACCTGGTGCCCTGGGAGAGCCTTGGGACCTTACAGGCGTCCTGGGAGAGGCTTGGGGACCTGGCGTCCTGGGAGAGCCTTGGGGACCTGGCGTCCTGGGAGAGGCTTGGGGACCTGGCGTCCTGGGAGAGCCTTGGGGACCTGGTGTCCCGGGAGAGCCTTGGGGACTCCAGACTTGGAGAGCCTTTGGGACCTGGTGTCCCTGGGAGACGCTTGGGGACCTGGTGCCCTGGGAGAGCCTTGGGGACCTAAGGCCCTGGGGAGAGGCTTGGGACTCTGGGCGTCCTGGGAGAGCCTTGGGGACCTGGTGTCCCGGGAGACGCTTGGGGACCTGGTGACGCGGCAGAGCCTTGGGCCAGGGGGAAGGAGCACAGTCGGGTGTGGGATGGTTTCCAGGGCTGGAGAAGGGGCGACGCTCCCTAGGGGAGAAGTGGCACGTTGGGGGTTTCGGGGGGTGGGTGGGACGGGGGAGGCCCCCAATCCCCAGCCTGAGCGCTCACGCCACCGGGTCCGCTCCTGCAGGTCCAGGCTCAGCTGCAGCTGGAAGGCGTGGCCCACGCGCACCCGCACCTGCACCCGCACCTGGCGGCGCACGCGCCCTACCTGATGTTCCCCCCGCCGCCCTTCGGGCTGCCCATCGCGTCGCTGGCCGAGTCCGCCTCGGCCGCCGCCGTGGTCGCCGCCGCCGCCAAGAGCAACAGCAAAAACTCCAGCATCGCCGACCTGCGGCTCAAGGCGCGGAAGCACGCGGAGGCCTTGGGGCTCTGACCCCGCCGCGCAGCCCCCAGCGCACCGGGACTCCCGGGCTCCGCGCACCCCGCCTGCACCGCGCGTTCTGCACTCAACCCCGACTGGAGCTGCTTCCGCGGCCACCGTGCTCCGTGCGCCCCGGGAGCTCCTGCAAGAGGCGTGGGGAGGAGGCTCCCGGGACCGTCCACGCACGACCCAGCCAGACCCTCACGGAGACGGTGCAGAAGGCGGAGCGCGTGAGCAGCCGTGCGCCCTGCTCGGACCTCTCCAAGGCTGCCCGTGCGTCCTGGGAGACCCTGGAGAAGGGTCAACCCTCTGCCTGGCTGCGTCTTCCTCTGCTCTACCCTATGCATGCGGTGAACGACCCAAAACGTGTGGAAGATCCTCGAGTCTGTGAACCTGCAAAGATCCCGGGGCTGGTCTCCGAGGAAAAGGCCGCGTGTCTTCGTTGCCAACGGTTTTCTTTACCTCCATACTCCTCCCTTCGTCCCAAGAGCTGTGTGGATTTGAATGTGGACTTTGGAATCCCAGGAGGCAGAAGGGGCCGGGCTGTCCTCCCAACGCTCCCCCCAACCCCGCCAGCATCCCAGAGGCAGCAATAAGGGAACAGTTTTGTGGCTGTTGTGGCTGAGGACGTGAACCGGGGGGAGTTGGAAGGGGAGGGGAGGGAGATTCGAACCTCCCACGTTGTGACTCCCACGTTCCGGGGACTTCCAGGAGGACCACGATGCTGGTGACCACGTCTGGGCCCACCTGACTGGGAAGAGTGGGGAGGCCTGTGGTGCCCTCGAACAGGCCACTTGACCCCTTTTTCCAGTATTTGCTTCCCTCACTTGACTGGGTTTTGTTTTTTTTTTTTTTTTGGTTGTTTTTGTTTGGGATTTGGTTTTCTGCTGTTTTCCAGAATTCAGACGCGTAATGACTCGCCCAAGAGACAGACGCGCGGTTGGAAGGTGTAATCCTAAAGCAGCATTAACTTTAATAACATGGAATGACGTGCAATACTATAAAGATAATAGATTAAAAATAATAATAATAATGATAATAATAACCGTAAGGCATTGCCTCTTCTCGCAGCGCTGGCCGCCCTGTGGCCACGGACAGGCCCGTTGCACAAATCATGAGTGTGGACATCGCCCTGGTCCTGGTGCAAGTGTGGGTTTTGTGTGTCTAAAGCGGATGAAAGGGAGCAGGATATAGTGCCTGAATATCAGTTTGGTCCCTGAGCTGTTGTGTCTGGTTGGGAAGCGTCCAAGTTAAGGAGAGATCCAGAGACTTCCAAGGTTTTTGCAGATGTCGGCGGTTCCAGGTTTGTCTCTCTCCTCTACTCCATCTTCTGCAATCCTCCAGTTTCTTCTTTTGTTTCTTTTGTTTTGTTTTGTTGTTTTGTTTTGAGACACACATTTGCTTCGTAGCCCAGGCTGGAGTGCACTGGCTCCATCTCAGCTCACTGCAACCTCCGCCTCCAGGGTTCAGGCGATTCTCCTGCCTCAGTCTCCCGAGCGGTAACCGGAACTACAGCCATAGGCCACCAACACCCGGCTGATTTTTTTGCTTTTTTTTTTTAGCAGAGACGGGGTTTCACCGTGTTGGCCAGGCTGGTCTCGAACTCCTGACCTCAGGCTATTCTCCTCCCTCAGCCCCCCCAAGTAGTTGGGATGACAGGTGCACCTGCCACCCACGCCCGGCTAATTTTTTGGTATTTTTAGCAGAGACGGGGTATCACCGTATTGGCCAGGCTGGTCTCGAACTCCTGACCTCAGGCTATTCTCCTGCCTCAGTCCCCCAAGTAGTTGGGATGACAGGTGCACCTGCCACCCACACCCGGCTAATTTTTTTGTATTTTTAGTAGAGACGGGGTTTCACCATGTTGTCCAGGCTGGTCTCGAACTCCTGACCTCAGGGGATCCGCCCGCCTCGGCCTCCCACCGTGCCCCCTAGTTTTATAAACAGCAGATAGCAGCTTGTCCTCACCGCCGGCATGGACGGGACCGTTGCTTGAAATGACTCCACCGAGAACATTCAGAAGGTTCTGATTGGTTTTCTGGGAACACAGCAAAGGGGTTTGCTGACCTCCCCGACGTTTCATCTGCCTGATTTGCCCTCCGTCACCCGGGCCTGCCCAGAGAGAAACGATATCTCCTCTCGACCTTTACTAACGTTCGGTGGCCGAGTCTCTTATTTCCAAACCACCTTTTGCCTCTTTCCGGATTCGACCTTGGCCGTGTTTTCTTTCCTAACGTCTGATTGAGATACTTCTCCCTGAGGTGGGGATAAAAAAAAAAAAAAAAGTAAAAACCAAAAACAAAACTTCTTCTTTTTTTTTTTTTTTTCCTTCCACATAACACTTTCTATCTCGTCACGAAATGTAGACTCATTTGGACCCATTTCATTTCTATCTTCGGATACTCCTTACACACACACCAAAAGGCCCCTTCAACGTTTTTTTTTTATTTCAAAATGTTAGAACCCCTGTAAAATGACAGAAAGAGAGAAAAGAATGCAAATTAAATATTTTTCAGTCAGTTACAACTTGTTTTTTCCCAGACGTTAATGGCATGAGAAAGTTTGTCTCCTTCATGCATTTTTTTTTGAAGCTGGAAATTTAAAAGAAAGTGAGAGAGAGAGTTCTATAGTTCAGATGAAATTTGTATCTAAAAGAAGAATTGCATTTTGAATATTTGGGAGGCCGGTTTTCATTCATCGGAGTGTGCAACCCTCGGGAAAAGGGAGTTGGGAAGAGGTGTACGGCCCTAGATATTTTTTTGTTTTTTTGTTTTTTGTTTTTTCCCCCGAAAAAGAGCTGAGTAATTTTGAAAAATCGAAACATTAACCATGTGTCATCATTTCCTCTCCACAAAAACTCACTCCCCGTGAGGAGAAAGACACACGTCTGGTCCCTGTAAAATCTGAACTTTTCTTTTTAAGAGACGGAGTCTCACTCTGTCACCCAGGCTGGGGTGCGATGGCGCGATCTCGGCTCAGCACAACCTCCGCCTCCCGGGTTCAAACGATTCTCCTGCCTCAGCCTCGCTGGGATGACAGGCACCTGCCACCACGGCCAGCTCATTTTTTTTTTTTTTTTTTTTTTTTGTATTTTTTGCAGGGTTTCGCCGTGTTGGTCAGGCTGGTCTCAAACTCGTGACCTCAGGGGATGCACCTGCCTCGGCCTCCCACAGTGCTGGGATGACAGGCGTGAGCCACCGCACCTGGCCTGTATCTGAACTTTTAAAAGGCACCGTCCACCCTGCTGGGATGCTTGGGCCTCCGGGCCTGCCAGGAGGACGCCTCTGTGTTTTGGTTTGATTTAATACAGAAACAGAGCCGAGCTTCCCCCTCACGAATGGGCCCCCAAAGCACAGCAAAAAGCCACAGAACTGTGTGGGGAGGACACTCGTGTCTGTCCAGACTGAGTAGTCTTTTGGCTTGTCTCCTGTAGAGAAAGAAGCTGGGGACTTTCTGTGAGGCTGGATAAGTGGTTCCCAGTAAGGAGTGCGCGTGCTCGTTTCTTCTTTCTCCTGAAACTCCAGGATGGAAGGAAATAAGAAATTCAGCTTGAACTGTGACCACTCCTCACCACAAACACCCTCTCCTCTCCCTTCCTTCCCTTCCTCTTTCTTTGTTTCTGTCTTTCTTTCTTTTCTGCTTTCTTTCTTTCTTCTTTCTTTCTTTCTTTCTTTCTTTCTTTCTTTCTTTCTTTCTTTCTTTCTTTCCTTCCCTTCTTCTTTCCTTCCTTCCTTTCTGTTTCTTTCTTTTCTTTCTTTCTTTCTGTCTCTCTGTCTCTCTCCTTCCTTCCTTCCTTCCTTCCTTCTTTCCTTCCTTCCTTCTTTTCTTCCTTGTTTCTCTTTCTTTCTTTCTTTGATGAAGTCTCACTCTGTCATCCAAGCTGGAGTGCAGTGGTGCAGTCTCGGCTCACTGCAACTCCGCCTTCCCAGTTCAAGTGACTCTCCCTGCCTCAGCCTCCCGAGTAGCTGGGATGACAGGCGCCCGCCACCACCCGGCTACTTTTTTGTTGCAACCTCCGCCTTCCAGGTTCAAGTGACTCTCCCTGCCTCAGCCTCCCGAGTAGCTGGGATGACAGGCGCCCGCCACCACCCCCGGCTACTTTTTGTATTTTTTAGTAGAGACGGGATTTTGCCATGTTGGCCAGGCTGGTCTCGAACTCCTGACCTCAGACGATCCACCCGCCTCGGCCCCTCCCAAAGTGCTGGGATGACAGGCGTGAGCCGCCGCGCCCGGCCTGTTTTGTCTTTTTCTGGGATGTTTAGGAGGGACTGGGGTGATGAGGACCCGTCCTCCAGGGACACGTTTGCCTGAACGTTCAGTGTGGAAATGGCATGTGTGTCTCCCCACAGGATGTGAGACGTTGAATTTACGGGGTGCGCCTACGTTGGCGGTTCCCGGTGCTTTTTTGCTCGAAACAAGGTTCTATTCAAAGTCAACGTCGGTTTCCCAGTGGCTTTCGGCTGAGCTCGCTGGCAAAGCCAGGAATATCCCCGGGATAGCGAAGGGGGCTGAACTTCCTCCTAACGTGGTTTCAGAGAGAGACAGGGTTTGGTGTGTGAGATCCACGGGAGCCCCGGCCCGTCGAGAGGAACACGTTGCTGTGGCCGGACTGAACATGTGGGGTTGAGCCCTGATACCTATTTTCCTTCCCCCTCACCCACCCCCACCCCCGAAAACTTGGCCAAAGCGTCCGTGGAGGGTGTCGGTCGCACTTCTCTCTTCGTGTGACCGTTCTGGTGACATCTATTCTCTCTCTCTGACGGCGAAGCACCCAGAGGAGAAGGGACTGGAATTATTGGATGTGGGGACTGGATTTTCTTTCTCCGGTCGCCTCTCTGACGGGTGCCTGCTTTGCAAAGGTCTGTTCCTGGGAGTTGCCAGGAGTTAGAAAAATGCACCTTGTCTGGTGGGGGTGGGCTGGGGGTACAGGTGTGATTGAACGATCAGGGGCGACGGGGCCCGTGGCCGTGGCCTTCTTCTCCAGCACCGGGAACAAAGAGGTGGGACAGAGTCTGTGTGTCTGTGCGACTGACGGGGAAACGGACCACATCCAACACCCGTTTTTCCAGTGACAGACTCGGTGGTCCGACGGGCTTGGCGTCTCTCCCGTAAGCGAAGGAGGTCTCTGCAGCCGGCCGAAGTCCAGCCAGGCTCCCACAGGGGCCTTGCAAGGCCGAGTGTGTGTTGTGTGGTCTTGCTGCTGTTCTTGGCCACGTGAGCAGTTGCGAGCGTCTGTGGATTGTGTCCAACCTGGGCACACTTGGGCGTTTCACCCGGACGAAGCCAACACGGGTTTCAGGTTGGTGCCAAGCTCCGGTGAGGATGGAAGGAAAACCTCTGGGTTTCATGCTGACCTTTCTCACTTTCTTTTTTTTCTCTAAGAACAAGAGCAGAATCCTCCAGCTCCCTTTCACGGCACAGTCTTCCCGGGAAAATTGCTTTTGCTGCTTCCAGCTTTGGGAGGTCTGGGGAGGAGAGAGGCTTTCGGTGGACGTGTTTGACATTTAAAAAAAAAAAACAGAAAAAAAAAAATAAAACTGGTGCCTAATTTATGAAAGAGAATTAGCTTAGCGAGCGTACGCACGTGGAAGACGGGATGTCTTGTAGACGCGTTTTATGGAAATGTGATATTTAATGACAAACCGGTGAAGGAATGTAGAGAATATCAGGTTTCAAAGCTACGAAACGTGTGCTATTTATTGAACGGGGATCGTTTCA